GCCCAGCGCTGCAATCGGTTTGACGTGTGTAGACCGGAATGCCTTTCTTCGAGCCAAAAAATCCTCCAAAGAGGTGCGTGATCCGTTTGCAGATGGAAGCGCCGACCAACATTCTGTAAAATATTTTTACCGCAAATATGATGGCTAGGCCTTCGCGATCGGGTTGGCTATAGTTCCGCTCGGCCGGTGTGAGTGCTCGCGATGCATGTTGCACAACCTTCATGGTACCATCCAGGAATTTATGGCTGATAGTAACACCAACACCGACAGAAGAAGCGTCTGCCGATACGACGATGTCGAGGTTCGGGTTGTAATGGGTGAGGAGCAAATCTGAAGCAAGAATCTCCTTGAACCTCATGAACACCTGTTGGCACTGTGTTATCCAACGGAATTCGGTGCCAGCCTTGAGTAGTTCGTCCAACTGAAAGCGAAGAATTCTCATTCTATGGACGAATTTACCATAATAATTAGCCGCCCCGAGGAAAAAACGTACGCCGAAGACATCAGTGGGAGGGGCCATGTCGGTGATAGCTTGAATCTTCGCTGGATCTGGTCGTAGCTCGTTGCGGTCGAACAGGTAGCCCAAATATTTGATTTGTGGCTGAGCGAACGTACACTTCTCTGGCCGGATGGTGAAACCAAATTCTTGAATCCGCTCCAACACTACACGAAGATTGGGCCAATGCTCCTGAGCGTCTTTTCTGCCAACAACCACGTCATCAAGGTAAGCAGAAGTGCATGGGAGAGCAGCCAACATGCTGTCTATCAGCTACTAGAATACTCCTGGTGCTGTCTTGACTCCTGGTGGTAGACGGTTGTACCGGTACAATCCTCGGTGGGTGTTGATGGCAAGAAGATCCCGGCTATCTTCGTCGCCTTCACCTGGAGGAGGAAGGCGTCAGAACTTCTACCTGGCTGAACACGGTGCAGTTGGCTAACTTGGCGAAAATGTCTACCGGTAACGGGAGAGGGTACCGATGTGGCTGCAGGGCATCATTGAGGCCGCTAGAATAATCCCCGCCAATCCGTATGGAGCCGTTGGCCTTGCGGACGACTACAATCGGGGCCGCCCAATTGGAAAAATCAACCTGTGAAATGATCTTGGCGCGCTCCAATCTGTCCAACTCGCCATCCACCGCGCTGTACATGACGTACGCCACAGGACGTTTAGGGCGAAACGCCGGTACTGCATCTTGCTTGAGCTCTAGCTTGAATTTTGTTTTCGTACACAATCCAAGTTCACTTCGGAAGACTTCCGGAAATGCCGCCTTGAGGGTGTCCACAGTGGTAGAAGAACTGGTGACACGGTTGCAGTAGGCACTGATAGCCACAGACCACAACCCAAAATCATCGAGCATGTCGATCCCTAGCAGCTGAAGGGACTGAACGTTGATGTCAGATCCAGTGTCCAACTGAATACGTACATCCACTCCGTTGATTTGAGCTTGAACGAAACGACACTTTTTGCTAACGGTATTTACCAGAAGACTTACTGTTCTCGTTGAGACAGCTCTCGGTCGGCCTTCCCGCTTCAAAGCCGATGATTTGGGGCTTTTCCGCACGCTCGAGCAATACCCCTCGCGATGGCCGACGAGACCGCAATCGTTGCACTTGTGTTGCTTATACCTACGTGCAGTCCCGGTTAAAGTGCATTGCTCCACAGTTCCTGGCTTGTTTTGTTCCGGTTCCAGCTGATCTGATGCTGAGCTTCGGTGGATACTTGTTGAACTGCTTACGTTTGACGAACTGCACTGCTGCTGACGTTGACGATTCGATCATTGCCGTATCATGCTTCAGACACAACAATCGTTGACAGTCCTCTGACAGCTGTTCGAGTGTGACGTCCGTCCGCTCCACTATCCTCAAAAGCAATCTTGTTCGTATTTCGCCATCTTCCTCCGTTTTCAGACCACAAACAAACATTAAACATTTGAATTGCTCTTTGGTCATCTTTCTCAATTTGAACTCAACACAGCTCTTGTTGATTCGACAGGCAAACGAAATTAAACGGCCTTAAATTTGAAATGACTTTTCTCATTCATCTAGTATGACCGATTTTAATTCGAATAATCGATTAACGAACCAAAAATTTTGTAATGGGTTATATATAGAGGTAACTCTAAGACTAGTAGGTCCCGAAGAAACGTGCTCAACTTTTTGGCTCAGCTTTGGTACTATCTTCGGTCCCAAGCTAATCGATGCACCCCTCGAAACATTGGAAAATCCACGAACCCCTCATTTTATCTGTCAAACTTTCATAGCGAATCAAAACAAACATTGAGTAGCACTAGAATTTTGACTAGAATGGGGCACTTCAATCGATTTGCTTGGGACCAACAGGCTAGTCAAGTAGTGAGCCAATTTACAATCGTTAGTTTCCACCGGTTGGCGTTACCGTTTGCTTACAACGGACTCGACAGCACCGAAAAGCGTTTTCAGTTTTTTTTCACTGTATCACCGAACGGAAAGTTTTTCGGAACCTTCGGTAAGATAAAACTTACGTAACGCTCATGTTCCGCAGCACCCAGTTTCCGCATGAGCAAGCGGACCTTGGCCTCATCGTCGAGGCGAGCAGCATATTTTTCAAACAGGTCGTCGTACCTGGCGTAGTAAGCAACGAACGTGACGCTTCCCTCTGGTTCGTAGCGAAACTCCTTAATGTTGTTCGCCAGCGAATCCAGGATGATTTCAGGGTTTGGAGGTATCTGAACGCGAATCGACTGCAATGCTTGGTGAAAAAGTGTTTGCTGCTGCTGCTGCATGAGCTGGTGTGCGAAAGTCTGCTGCTGTTGTAAAAGTTGGGCGAAAATTGCTTCTGTTGGTGCCGGTTGCGGATTTGGAGCTGGATTCGGAGGATTTGGCTGTGGGTGATGTAGTATGGGGCAGTATTTAAAAGCGACACGTAAAGTTGAAAAAATTAAAAATGTATTTTACAATAAAACAAGGCGATTAGAAATTACGGGTGTTCGCGGTTCTTAGTGTTCTTCTCTTTTTTTTACTCTCTGTTTATTAATGACGTTTCTTGTTGGTGCTGTCACGGCATCGACGTTGATGGCTGCTTGACTGCCATCTGTGAGCTCAGACGAAAAGTGATAAAAATATACACTCATAAAATAAATCACATAACCAGTGGAAAATATCCATGTGAATTTCATGAACATGAACGTTATGTGTCCAATGAAATCTACATGATTCTCATATATAATTTCTAATGCTATGTGATATTCAGGTAAAAATCATTGTTTTTGTTTTTGGAAAAATACTATGTGCGTTCCTAATAGAAACTAAGTGAAAACTTTTTTCAGTGTAGAGTTGGTCCAAAGTACCAACAGGTATTAATGGTTAATTATTGACAATTGATCAAAGTGTTTAGCCGTAATCAACCGATCACGTGCTCGCTTGCTGTGATTATCAAAAGAACAGAGATACGAGCTGGTATCATTCAATATTAAATATCATTTTTCGCGAGGGGGGCGACACATCTAAATCTCAAGTTTAGATGCTCAACAAATCTCACACTAGCGAACCAATCTTTGAAAAATCTTCTTTCATTTGTCGCATCTACTTGCATCGCTCATCATCTTTTTGCAGGAAATCTTCTGAATCGTCATCAATCTTCTTTCTATCTACTCAGCGTGCGCGCAGCTAGCCACAGCAAAACACAATCTTTTTTGCATCATAGATAGAGTCATCCCCCTCGATTTTTCGTCTGTTTTTTTCTTCTATTCATTCACCTACATTTGCAAAATACAGTAAAAGGAGGGACATAGAATGTTAATCTAAATGCTTAAGTAAGGAAAACGTAGAAAGTTTTACTGCAGTCATCGTTTGACTGCTGAGTGATAAACAGGAGTGTTCGTTGCATTGTACACTGAAAACGAATTTTACGCAGAGAGTGAGTAACTTTTACGCTTTTAAAAATTTCTTCATAGGAATGAGTAAAAGTGAATTACTCTCTGAGTAAGATTCGTTTTCAGTGTACAACGCAACAAAATCTTCTGAAAAGAGTTTAGTTATGAAATTCACTTCACTTCACAACAAACTAGAAATCGAACAAAACTTTCGTAGTCCTACGTCAACAATGCGATCGGGTCTTGTACACCACCCTCCAATTTTTTTTTTTTTTATAGAACTTTATACAATTTTTTAGAAATCATTCTCTGACAATATTTTTGTAGGACTTATCAATTTTGAGTTATAATTTTTTGTAGAAAATACTTGACAAAAATTTCAACCCTTTTCAAATGGTGGTCAAGATTTTTTTTAAGTGAAATAAGTTTCTTCAGTAAAAGATATCCTAAAATCCACAGAGTTTCATTGAAATCCGAGAGGGTGCTACCAACCATTTATTGAGTTGGCGTTAAATCCGTCATTTCATAAAAATGATCTATTCAGTTGAAATGAAATATACGTATAATTTATGATCCATCTGCCATGGATTAGTATAATCAACTTAATCATCTATAGTATAGGTCACACTGTCAAATGGATCTGTTGACGCCAATAGCTGTCGACCTTGACAGAAAATCTTTAAAAAAAACACCAAGAGCTAATTTCTTTCGCTCCAATTACTACCAATCTGACTACGAACGAAGCCACGGCAAAATACTATCTCTGCTTCTAAAATCTAAACACCAAAAAACGCCATCCGTCTCCACCAACGCCATAAATCATCCATCATCAACCAGTTCCACCCACTGCACTGGCACATTACATAGGAGATACCTTCCTATACCGCAGGCGCCCTTCCTGAGGAAGAAAATCTCACTAAGTTTAGTTCTATAGAGCAGTAAACATCAACAAAGAATATGAACGGAAGAGCGCCGCCTCGCTCACTGTAATATACTTTACACACATATATTAGTCTTCGATATTCTTGCAAGCTGCCCGCCTGCCCGCCTTGTCTGCCTGCCTCGGTGGGTATATACTAAGCCGCAATCCACCAGCAGCAATGCTAACTGACTCCGAATCTCGCAGTTTTTCCTCCGCTGCTAGTCAGTCTAGTTCCGATTTCGCTGCGATTAAGACGCACTTGGATTGGCAGTCGGGATTCGTCGTCGTGGTTGATGGTTCGCAAAAAAAAATCGGCTTCCGAAGGGTGTGCAATTTGATTGAGTGAACCGTTTACTACTAAACGTTTTTTGAAAAATACCAGTCATCAAAAGTGATTAACTGCTGACAGAGTTTGGCGGATATTCGGGAGATCTGCACCCGTGTTGGATTAGAAGCCGAATCGAATAAGTGGTGTAAAAATTATGATCTAACGCGGTGAGAACGTTGATCACGAGTCTTGAAAAGCAGAGTTTCTAAGCACGACGGTGGTAGCAGGATGTGGAAATTGGCAGCATGTTTGCTCCTCGGAGGTGAGATGAGAGTCATAAATCAAACCGATAAAAAATTGCTGGTGGGTGGCGCGCTAAGTCGCGTTCCGAGTTTGGAGCTGCCAATTTTCGTAAATAAATTGAGCAGGGAATATCGATTCGCGAAGCACAGTTTCCAACGATCATCAACGCCACCACCATCATCTGGATGTGGTATCTTCTTTTCCCGTGTAGCTGCCAAAGGCATGCATTAGGAGTGTAGCATACGGCGGGAAATGGGCGGGAAATTGTTTCCACACTATAACAACTGACGGACAGCTCCGAAATTGCGTCATTGCGGTGTGAATAAGCAGAATGCGAGTGTAATCCGTGTGCTGCATGATGAAGTTTACTTGCGCTGGCAGATTGTGTGTTTATCGCGGGTTGTGTTTAATCGGCGTTTGGGGGAATCATTTAAGTATAGTATTTTGCAAATACCTATCGCTATCGATGTACGTAAACACTGCGGACTCTAATATTAGCATTGATTCCAGCACTTTTATTTATGTTGATCATCTCGTTTTTTTTTCTGGAAAGAAATATCAATGGCTTTGGTCCATGTTTCGAAGATGAAGTATTGATTTTTTCGATACATTTAGAGACTTCGTCTTTGAAAAACTTACTTTAGGAAGTAGTGTATTTATTTATTTTAATTTTGTTATCACTTTAACACTCTTGGAAGGAAGGAAGTTCTTGAATTTCTCGTTTTTCTGAGTTCTTGCAATTATCTTTCTTCTGAGTTCTTAAGATTCCCGTTTCAATGAAGTTTCCAAAAAATTTATGAATTTTTTTAAACATCTTCAAAGTTCTCTGGACTTCTTGAAAATCTAGGGACATCCTAATATTTACCACTATTATTTTTTATATTGATAGATTTTCAATGACCTTTCGTGACGTTCCCTCAATTATCGAAACGGTCTTTAAGCTTTGGCAACATATTTTAAAATGTTTTGCAATTCCCTGATGCTCGAAGCATTTCTTTGAAATTTTCTGATCATTCCTGACGTTCTCTGGAATTCTATGAAGTTCACGCAGTATTCCTGCAGTTTTTCAACCTCCCTTTAGACTTTGGACTTTCCTGAAATGTTTGTAATTTCTTTCAGTCCTTGCAATATACGTGAAATCAAAACGAAATAATAAATTTTGTTCTAAGATTTTCACTGAAGTTCTCAAAATGTTCAAGACGCTCATAAAAACCGCCCTAAAATTATGGAAATAAATTCATCATAATTTTCAAATTTCCCCAATTGTCACTTTCCTGATATTTAATGTGCTTTTCTTATTTTATTGGAACTTGCTAAAAGATCTCTTAACTTTCCTTTTGAAGAGTCCCCGTAAATTTACTGAAGTTAATTTAATTGTCGTTAAGTTCCTTGATAATCGGCGCACGCTATGTCTGAAGGCACTTATTTTGCAACATTCATGTACCTCAGATTTTTCTTCACTGTATGTTAGTGTTGATCCTAACAATCAAATCTGTGATGGTTTTAAAATAATTAATCTTGGATTTTTTTTAGAAATCGTGTTTTGAAGTTAACAAAACCGATTATGAAGGCGTATATGGATAATTTACCATACAAAACTATTACGAATCGAACACATGCAGTTAAATAAGGTTTAAAAGTTGATTGAATTAACAAAGTTCTCTTTGTAAGTAAGATCCATATTGATTATGTCGACTTTGCTCAAAATCAATTAATAGTTGTTGGTAGCACAACATCTTATTAAATTTCTCTTCCCTCTTAAGAGTAAAAAAGAAAGAAATGAGCAGTACAGTTCGTGACAGCCACGTAATCATAGTAGGCATTGATTTGTGTCCAGTTTTGAGTGTTTTTTTTTATAGATAAATCGTGTAGAAAATCTGGAAAAATTAAAAAACCTCATGAAGAAAATAGAGAGTTTGCTTGTTGTGCTTCAAAAAAGCAAGTCTAAAAAAAAATCATGCCACTTCAGTAGCGACGATCGTTGAAAGATTTTTACCAGTTCAATAAAGGAGATAGTAGGTATCCGAAAGTTTTGTGTCCCCTACTCAACAGGTGGCGAAGGTGGAATTTGCCACCAAAACATCCTGAGGGATGGAAATTTTGCTTGGATTTTTAAAAACAAATTGAGATGTTTGACTCAACGGTGAGACTGAAAATAAATTCTGGCAACCATAACGAATTTGTTTGAAAATCTTTTATACGATGATGTCGATAATACAGGAATGAAACTCACATGAGATCAACTACTCTTACCCAGTGAGTTTAGGTAGCTCTCACCTTGAATTACTACAGAATTGCTAGAGCTTCATTGCAGTTCCCATATTTTGTTTAAGGAAACATTTTGGAAGGTTCAGCAACTTTCTAGGAAGTTCTGCGAACTATAGGGAACTGTACTGAATTTTAGGAAAGTTTTGCAAACATTAAATAAGTTCTTCCAAAGAAGCAGATAAATTCAGCAACTTTCAGAGCAGTTCATTGAACTTCAGGGAAGTTCTACAAACTTCAGGGGAGTTCTACAAACTTCAGGAAAATTCGACAAACTTGAAAGATGTTCTTCGAGCATCAGAGGAGAAGTTCTATAAACTTCAGGAAAATTCTGCCAACTACAGGGACGGTTTGTGAGCTTCAGGGGAGTCCAATGTCATCCTGGTTAGTTCTACGAACTTCAAGAGAGTTCTGTGAACTATAGCAACATTATATGAATTAAATGATGCTCTGCAAAAGTTCTTTAAACGTGAGGAAATTTTTGCAAACTTTACGATGGTCTGTGCACCACAGGGAAAATTTATAAAAAATTAGGAAAGTACTGTGAATTTTATGAAATATCTGATAATTTCAGGGAAAAGCAATGCCAAACTCAGAGACGTTAAAAGAACATTAGGAGAGTTTGAAGAATTTCATCGAAGTTCAACGAAATGGAAAAACTTATGAACAGGGATTTGAATTTGAAATGTAAATTATATAAGAGGTAACATTGGGTCGTTGGTGGAACAACTCCACCTCCATGTGTTAGAAAAAAGGTATTATAGAGAGAATTTCTTGCGATACATCTTCCTCTTTTACGCTTCCCTTGTGAAATGTGATCGAAGGCAAGTTTTTCAATACAAAACGCTTTTTGTTATATCTTTATATTGTTCCTTACAAGCGTTTCTTTTAACCTTTCATTTGATATTTTTATTTTTGAAATCAGCCTTGTGGTTCAAAAGTTTTGAAAAAAGTGATTTAAATAAAGAAAAAGATTTTTTGGACCACCCTTACGTTGAAATGGTCACCAAATGCCAAAATAAAATTTGCAATAAGGAACAAATTACCTTTTTTTTACCATATTCTGAGAAACACTATAATGTTTTGTTGTGGAATGGCTGAATATAAGTAAATTTAGAGACTAAACTATTGTTAAATTATGTTTTAAATTAAAACATTATGAGATCATGGCAAAGCTACGATATTTTATGGTACTGAAGAGGGAATCTTACTGTATCATTGAAACTTAGTATTTTGAATACTTTAATCCCCTTTAGAATCATTTTCAGCTGAATTTGTTTCTATCCGTACCAATTTTGTATCGTCAATAGTCCTTATACACCTTTGTAAACGGCTAAGTATACTTTAAAACACTTTTTCTCAAAGAACCCAAGATGAAATATTTTAAAACCTCCACAGATTTGATTGTTAGGATCAATACTAACTTCCTGTGAAGTAACAAAAAAAGTGCCTTCAGACAAAGCGCGCGGCGCCGGTGGTGTAGTGGTAAGCGTGACTGCATTCTCACCCCAATGGGTCTGGGTTCAATCCCAGCCGAGGTCGGTGGGATTTTTCTGAGGCATAAAAATCTCTGGTCACGTCTTCCTTCGGAAGGGAAGTAAAGCCGTTGGTCCCGACCCATGTGTGTTGAATGAATGGGTGCGATATCCTACGCAGGTGTGGAAGCTGCCTTCCTGCAAATTCGATTGCCGTCAATGGATGACAATCGATGTCCGTCGGTGATTGGCACTAGATTGCGGAACAGAGACCGACGTTAAATAAAGGAAAGAAGAAGTTCCTTGATATTCTTTGAAGTTCCCGTAATTTTCCTTAAGTTTTGAAAACTTCTTAAAAGCTCGCGAAACTTCGTCTAAAAATGCAAATGTTCCTTGCACTTACCTGGACATTAGAGTGATGAAAAATTTGAAATTTTCGCTCCACAATACTTAAACGATTCCAAATCGGATTCTGACTAACCTCTCAAAATTTGAACCCATTTGGTGAGAAACTGAGATGGCACAAACCATTTGAAGTTTGTATGGGAATTACTATGGTAAAACCAAGATTTTTTTTCATGTCTATCTAATAATTCGCCATATCGGTCTGCTTCAAAAGCTTTCAACTTTACTTGTAGGAAATTTTCCCAGCTACAACTTTGCTCAAGACCACTTTTTGATTAAATACAAGGATCGAAAGTTATAAATGGTTCAATGCATTGATGTCTTATGATCATGCTCAATAAACTGCTCAGTAGGCAACATTGGTGTTTCTGGGGCGTTGAATAGGACACAAAAATTATGGCTACTATGTCACACTGTAAAATACAGTGTTGCCTACAGAGCAGCTGCTTGATCATGTCATAAGTTTACCAATCGCTTAAATAATTAATAACTATTTCCTGTCTCGTTTAACATAGAAACGATCTTCAGCAAAGTTGTGGCTGAGAAAATTTTCTATAAGAATAGCTATCGAGCTGTTTTGCAGCTCAATATGGAAAAAGACTAAAAGGCAATGAACAAAAAGTTGAGATTTCCCATAGTAACTTACAAGTAAACTTCAAATGGTTTGTGCGAAGTCTGTTTCTAACCAAATGAGATGTAACTTTTCGAGGCTAATCACGACCTGATTTGAAACCATTTAAGCACTGTGGAGCGAAAAAGTCAAATTTTGCATCAGTCTACTGGACATCCATGAAGCGTTCTAAATCCTCGGAATATCTCATAATTTCTTTGAACTCCATGAAACTTCCTGTAATTTTCCTTAATTTAATGGAAC